GCACAGCGACACATTTTTATTGTTATTGACAAGACATGTGTCAGTCGTGAATGATTCGTTCATTAGTCCCGGGTCGCATCAAAGTATTAATGATTGCACTTAAATTTTTGAACGTTCCGGATCAAACGATTGACTGTACCTATGACCCACAGATTACCTCCTAATAGATACCGCATCATGGAATATTTATTCTGTTTCGATTTCACCAAATTTCGGGTTGCGGGGGACGTGTCAAATGCGCTGTGATTGGATAATTCAAGGTTGAACTTGAAGAATGCTCCGATAAAATGAAAAAAAAAAAAAAAAAAAAACCCGATAGTGATGGAAAACTAAAAAAAATTTTCACTGCCTATTAAAAAAATAAAACAAGGTTGCCGAAAATTTCCTTTACGTAACGCGTGTTACAGGTACTTACAAAGTGAAATATATTAAATTTTTAGATTTTTCGCACTTCTAGTAACATTTTTAAAGTAAACGTAAAACAAAATTTGAACGCCTTACTGTCAATTTGATAATTATGTTTTTCGTAATTCATTACGAAACGCTGTGGTGGTTGTGTGTGATAAAATTTTGTTCCATTACAAATTCGTGTTTTCTCAGGTAAGATGGTTGCTATGTTTTGGTTTTTCCTTAATTTTCTCTCACAACAGTATAAGGTTGATAATTTGTAACACGAAAGCCTTATTATTCATTAATTTTTATTTAAAAATGATTGATATCAATTTCAAGCTCACTTTTAGTAACATCAATTACGTAACGTTATGTATTAGCGGAACTAATTTTGTTACGTACCGGAATTATAAGGGCATGTCTAGCTTTGAAATATAGTTAGTAGGTCTAAATAATATATCTGCAGCTACAAAATATGTTTTTGTTTCATCTTTCAGATACTTTTAAAAGTTATGTTTTAAAACCTACCAACAAAACAGAATGCCTCTCACAGGGTCCGAACGAGCAAAACGATTCCGAGAAAATTTGAAAAAAGATCAAAAAAGTATGAAGTTTACAAGAAAAAGAATTAGAACGAGTAAAAAAAATCAAAAAAAGATAAATGAGCTCAGATAAGAAGAAAAACAGAAAAAAGAAGATACTGGAGAAATCAAAACAATAAAAAAGAAAAGAAAATATCTTCTGAAGAAAGAAAACAAGGCAGCAAGACTTTTGAATCAAGAAACATTAAAATTAATAATCGTTTGAAGAAGAAAATACGTTTTTTATAGATAATGCTTTAACTAAATCGAAAAGAAATCAAGAAAGATTAAACTTACTAGTAGGACGTTTGAGAAAACTAATTCAAAGAAGTAAATAAAATCTGCACAAAGAAGTAAACAAAAATGAAGAATTAGAGGAAGAAAATAAGAAAATCAAAAAGGCGCTTCAAATGACTTATAAGGACAACAAGACTCAAAAAGGCAAGAGATTGTTAAAAGGAGTGATATGCAATTTTTCAAAAATAACTGGTCGAAATGGAAATTACGGTAAAATTTTAAGGTTTGAAAAGCAGAATAAAATTTTCTTTTAAGCGGCGTTTATTAAATACTAAAGTAAAAGAAGAAATGGAAATATTTTATCTGAGAGATTATAACAAGGTGTACTGCAGGAAAAAGAGTGTAAGATAAAAGTAAAAACAAAACTGCAAATAAGGTATTTGGTTGACACAATGTGTAATCTTTATAAAATTTACGAACAGGAATTCGGTAAGTTAGTTACAGTTACACAGTTAAATATAAATTTTATAGTTACAAACCTTTTATGTTTTATCACTAAGTACGTAAGTACGTAAGTAAGGGAAACTTGTTTATGATCCAAACATAGTCAATTAATTTTTTCATAGATTCTAAAAAAGTTAATAAAATTTGCTCTTATAAAAAGATATTGACGATATGACGATAAAAATATTTAAATTATAGTAATTAGGTATTATTTTAGTATGTACTTATGGAAAAATGGTGTATATGTGCATACACCCTAAGCAGTTCCTTTTCGTAACACATTATTCCATTATCGTAACTGTCCCATAGTTTTTAGTTTAAATTTTTACGTTTATCTTACAAATCTTGATGATGTTTTTGTATTTATTTTATTTTGTTAATAGAGTTTGAATATTAAACTTGTTTCAAATATTGTGTGGTAAATGATATTTTTTCCCCCGAAATATCTGAAAAGTTACATAATGGAGCTTTACACAGTAGATTATCTAAATTCCTACGAAGAATTTTATAATAAGCTTAGTTTTAAAAAATATTTATCTTTGATTTAACTCAAACAATAAAATTTATATGTATAATAATAGTTTTATTTTATTTAAACGGTAATTAAAAAGTTACGAAACTGAATAAATATTGCAGTAGACGGTCCCCTTAAAATGGATTTTTAATGAATATTATTAAAAGATTCTTAATATTTTTGCATTTTAGGACAATTTATTAAATTTACCATCGAAATATCCACATTTAAGTCTATTTCGATTTATGAAAAATATTGGATTCCGCTTACGTAACGCGTCATTTTATTTGAAATTCGCTCGTATAGAAATAATATATTTGTACATATAATCTAATGATTTCATAAATTTACGCGAACACTACACATTAAATGAAACTACTGTATGGATTTTATCGCGTTTAATTAATTCATGGTCACGGGGGGGGGGGGGGGAACTTAAATGTTTGACATCTCAATTTCATAGTTAGTCCGGCTATCTTCACCTTTTGAATATTCATTTTTGGTCCCGATCTACATAAAATGAGACATGACATGATGACATGACATGACATGACACAATGAGAAAGAAAATACTCGGTCGTCGACGATTCGAGCCGCTCTGCGCTGGATGCGGTCAAGTGGAAGGAACTGGTACTGGGGAGCCCCAGCCCAGAGATGGGAACAGTATTTCATGTGCGGCCGAACCTGCGCCTTGTAAAGTATAAAGTAACTGCAGGCTGTGTACCTGCATGAAACTGTTCCGCTCTGCTGAGCACGCCAAGCTTTTTAGAGGCCAATTTTGCCTTCTATTCCAAGTGACCACGAAACAGCACGTCACTCGATATGTCGACGCCGAGGATTCCGATACTGGCTGAGGCGACAAGGGGAGTGCCTTGAAACTGAGGAGATACGACAAAGGGGTTATTTTTAGCGGTTATATAATTACAATATAATGTAATAATATATTTAAAAATAATTAAATATATTATTACATTAATTAATTACACGTTATGTTACGGTACAATCATAAGTTTATAAAAACTTTACCGTGTACCGGTATCACCGACAACAACAAATATGAGGGTGTTTATATTTTTTTCTATTTTAAAAAATGACTGAAATAATGAGGCCAGTACGCGATGTTATCGTCAAACTTCGGCCGACCAGACAGTGCGTTGACGTCATCGCTCCCGTCTAATAAGGCCTGGTTTACATTTTAAGAAGTGACAAGTGTGAGTTAAAAGTGCAATTGACAAATGACAAGTGCTTAGTGCGTGTGGACCTCAGAGTAATTACTAGCATAGAGAGAGTCTTAAAAACAGAACAAAACCTCATGTAACTGAACTCTTTATGCATTTGACATTTCCACAGGATAAAAAACGTAGACAGAGAAACCTATAGACAAATAGACGCCTTCATTCGTATTCGCACACGAAAAAGATAGATTTATGCATCAAATGTATGTCTTGGATAGAAATGAGACAGAGCGGTGTGATTGTTTGTCCCTTACTCCGTGCTTGTTTTTTTGTTTAGCAAACTACACTTTGCTAAACAACTTTGACAGTTCGTAGCGATCTAAGGAGTTTACAAGTTGGTTTAAGTGAGAAAAAAGTGTTTTGTGAAAAATTTTAAATTTATCGCTTAAGATTTTTAAATACCGATATCGAATGCTTTTGGTCAGTTCAGTCCTCCTAGAACCCACCATAATTAAAATTAATTTTGTTCCGATCTATCATGTGTTTAGGTACTGAAGTGCAGTAGAATTTTATTTATTATAATCCAATCTATTGAAACTACGATATGTTTTTTTTCAATCGAGCCACGCGAATCAAAGATCGTTATTATGAATGACGGATCATGTACTTTTTTACAGACGCAATTCCCGGAGGCCAAAGTTAAATATACGCGATGACAGTATTATTTCAATGAGATTCGCGAAATCTAAGTGTTTGTGAGAAGATTGATGAATTTTGTTCAGTTCAGTTCCTAGAACAATTAAAAATTTTATCTACATGTGTTCAAAAGTCATAAAAATTGTTTTATAACCTAAAACTACGTTATCGTTCTTTCTCACTCGAGGTCACGCTAATAAAAGATAGTTATATGAATTACATCATCTCTTTTTTACAAGCATGGTTAGAGAACGGGAGAATGATCGCTGTAGAAAATAGTACCCCAGAAATATGGACAAAATAAGTGAAGCGCTGTGATCGCTAAGTTGTCTCAATAAAAGCGGGCTGTTGTGCGCTAGTTTGAAATGATTATAACATCATTCAAAGAAAAAAAAAAAAAGAAAATAACGAAATTATTATTATTTATTAACAAATAAATAATAAATTATGTTTTTCTTAATTCTAAAAGCTATTAGACCAAAAACTACCGCATTTTGTTGTGAGGATTATTTTGATGACATATTATGCGTATTTGAAAAATCCTAATAATAGTGATAAATTATGATTTTACCATGTTAAATTCGAAGGTTGTAGTACGCTTGGGTAGTACGAGTGCGATAAAACGTAGTGATTATGTTGTAGACAGATCATTCTCTGTCTACGGATTATGTACTTTTTGAAGTCCCTTATCAAAGAAAAAAATTACACGTCAAAATAGGCAGTATGTTCTTAAACTTTTGCATGCCATAATGGGCGAATCGTAACAACAACAACAATAAACAAAAACAACACAGTAAACAATAAACATATGAATATCATGAAAATAAACTGGCGTAGTTTCGATAGGATATAATTTGTAGTGCTGAGAATTTATTGTCAAATCTTTAGTTCAAATCGTGAATTATGATTGTCGCTCTGCAAACCTTAATATACTTTCGCCAGTCTTTGCTTAGTGTTTTGGAACGACTGATTGGGCCTTACTACATACGTTTCAGTTTTTTACCAAATAAAGACAATGATTTGGATGATGAAGACTCGGAAGAACAAGTATTTGCTGAATATGATGATGAAAAAGGGGTAGTTTTCTTCCCACCGATGTACGTACAACGCTATGCCGCAGTCAATGACTGCCTTTTGGATGAACGATGGAGTGGAAAATTACAAAAGGTATACTAATTTGTCTGATTCTACTTAAATATAATATTTATGTTATTGCTTTAAACTGACTCATTTGCTTAATATACATTCCGAATTGTGGAAAGCTTATACAGTAGAAAGTAAGGCTATTAAATTATTAACTATTTTAGATTGGTTGAAATATCACCAATAGAAATCTATTTGGGTTGGCTATAGATATCCAGTACTTGATTATAATAATGTTTTTAGTCTTGGAGGTGTGTTAGGGTTAAGCTTGAACCTATTAAACTGTTTTTAGATGTTGGAAATGCGTTTTGAATTGATTACGAAAAATATAAATTTCACTAAAAATTGCTAAAGCAAAAGTAGACTGCTAAAGTAGACGTCCGGTACTTGATTTTTTAATTTTGTTTTAAATTTAGGAGGTTTATCAGGGTTAAACTCGTACCTTTTACACTGTTTTTGGATTTTTATTATATAAATAATATAAATAAATATAGTCAAAAATTTATTTCACTAACAACGGCAACCAATAAGCCGAAGCTGTGGAGATGAACATGAGTGCCTGCAATTTGTTATGCAAGGGCGAAGGCACTGCACTTCCCACAGCGGTGAAGCTGTTTACTTGTAACTTTAGGTCCTGTGTAAAAGTGAGGTTATGATTTTACAAAAAAAAAAAATTATTACTCATAAACTATAAATTTCTGCAAGAAGGGAAAGGTATAGTTTATGAGTAATGAAAGGCTTCTCCTGAACCTAGCTAGCAGTCAGCCGCCGTAGAGTCTAGAGGTAGTCATATGTGTAGAGGCGAAACACGTGTCGTATTATCGTCGATGGTGTGTCTTACCTGTAATAGTGGTGTTAGAAGTAGTGGTGCCGGGAGTAGTGGCATTGGGGGTAGTGGTGCTGGGACTAGTGGTGACGAAGTTAGTGCATGCAATTGAGGAAGGGCGAGAGGTGCTTTTCAATCAAGGTAAGACACATCATTGTATTTAGTTAGCGGAAGGTTGCATAATAATTAATATTTTTATTTTAATGGATTTCTGCAAAGTAACGCCTGATTTGTTTTCCCTATGCATAACTACGTCCAATTAATTGATATTGTTTTGTTTTCAGGTTGTCGACTTAGGCTATCATGATATGAGTTTTATAAAATATTTGAAGGAAGTGCCTGGAGTAGAACATATACTAGGTGTAGACATTGAAACTGTGCCATTGCGGTGTTCATCTGATTTGCTTGCTAATGGAGAATTTGCAAACAAACGAGAAACACCATTACAGATAACCGTATGAAATTTTATTAGATTATTTCTGTAATAATAAAAGAAAATATTTCAAAGACACGTAAATTTCGCCAACACGCATTGGGAGAGCGCGGCGGACATTTCCCTGCACTAAAACCCCCTTAGAAATGAGGGCCCTATGCCCAGCGGTGGGATGTATATACGCTCTAACTTTATCTTTACTTCTTATTGTCATAAGGTATAAGACACTATCCGTGGCGGCCTTATGGCGGTGTAAGCGGTGCGACTACACCGGACGCTGTCATCGGGTAGGGTGCGGAAATCAACAGAAACGCTATACCGGGCGACCGGTGCTCGATCCAACTCACTCACTTTTATCACTGACATTCCGTTTTGGTGACACTAATAAAGAAGTCGAAATACGAGAGTATATTGTTGCTTACAAGCCTGTAAGACTCTTCAGGAGAAGGACTCACTGGCCTCTTTCCTAATGTAATTGTACAAGACTGACCTAGACTAATTGATTGGCGAGGTCAAGGGAGTCAATCAAGGGGTTCAATGGAATGAAAAAGGCAGGAATAATTAAAGGTGTCCAAACCAAAATTACGAATCAGGGTTCTCTAGCATTTTTCAATCTATGTAGAAGGTTCATAGTTTGAATTTATTGATAGCTGATGCAGACAAAACTTATGTTAAATCAGCTTTTTTCCGTAAAAAGACTGTACTCTCTAGATCATCAATGCGATATCATCATTACAGCACTTCACAAGTCCATTGCTGAACATAGGCCTTCTCCAAGGTATACCACAAAGCATGGTCCTGAGCCAACTGCATCCATCGACTTCCTGCATGTCTTACCAGGTCGTCACTCCATCTAGTGAGGGATCGTCCTACACTTCGCCTACTGGTACGAGGCTGCCACTCGAGAACCTTTTTTCCCCAACGGTTGTCGGTTCTTCGAGCTATATGGCCGGCCCATTGCCATTTCAGCTTAATAATCCGTTGGGCTATGTCGGTTCCTCTGGTTCTACTGCAGATATCCTCATTTCTAAGTTTATCATGCAGAGAAAGTCGGAGCATAGCTCTCTCCATAGCTCGCTGAGCGACTTTTAGCGTCCTCATATGGCCAGCAGTGAAGGACCACGTCTCGGTCCCGTAGATCATCACTGGCAACACGCACTGGTTGTACAACTTAGTTTTCAGGTTTTGAGGTATACCTGACGAGAAGATGCGTCGTAATTTCCCGAACGCTGCCCAGCCAAGTTGAATCCGTCGATTGACCTCTCGGTCGAAGTTGAACTTACCTAGTCGGTCTATTTGTCCCAGGTAAACTCGTCAACAACTTCGAGCTTAGAGCTCCCAACAACTACCGGTATAGGTGTGACATTGATTAAACATGATCTTTGTTTTGTCCATGTTCATCTTAAGACCTAACCGTTGAGAGGCACTATAGAGGTCATTGAGCATAGTGCTTAAGTCCTCCAGCGATTCTGCCATAAGGACTATATCGTCGGCAAATCGAAGGTGAGTGATGTACTCGCCATTGTTATTAATACCGTATCTTTTCCAGTCCAGTAGCTTGAAAATGTCTTCCAATACAGCGGTGAAGAGTTTCGGGGAAATGACGTTACCCTGTCTTACACCTCTCTGCAGTTGGATAGGTTTCGTACTCTGGTTCTGTACTCGGATAGTCATCGTAGCTCTACTGTACAAACACTTCAGCACTTCAATATACCGACAGTCAACTTGGCACCGCTGAAGAGACTGTACCACCGACCAAATTTCGACTGAATCAAAGGCTTCTCATAGTCCACATACGCCAGGCAAAGTGGCAGATTGTACTCTGCCGTCTATGGTATATAGTAATGTGATCTATGGTACTAAAGCCTTTTCGGAAACCGGCTTGTTCGGGAGGCTGGAAGTCGTCGAGTCTGCGTGTGAGACGATTCGTAATGACTCTCGAAAACAGCACGTAGACGCGGCTCAGAAGGGATATCGGTCTGTAGTTCTTCAAGAGGGCGTTGTCACCTTTCTTGTAGAACAAGACCACCGCACTTCTGCTCCACGACTCCGGAGTAGTGCCACCATGGAGGACGGAATTAAGGAGCCTCTGAAGGACTTCAAGTACCGGTTTTCCACCCGCTTTCAGAAGCTCCGCTGTAATTCTTACCTCGCCCGGGGACTTGCCGTTTTTAAGGTGCTGGAGAGCCATTCTAATCTCGCTCAGACTGACGTCCGCGATATCATCGGAATAGTGTTGGATAAAACTTGCTCTTGGATTGTTACTCACACTTGTGTGTGGCTCCAACAATGATGTGTACAGCTGCCCGTAGAACCTCTCAATCTCACTCAGAATCTCAGGTGTCCCGGAAACGATGCTGTCACACTCAGTCTTCAGCTTTGACAGCTCTTGGCAGACAGATCTTTGGCAAAGGCTTTGGAGCCCTGGTTCCGCTCGATTGCTTCTTCATTACGAGCAGTATTAAATTTGCGTAAGTCTCGCCGCATGCATTTGGAGATCCGTCTGTTCAGTTGCCTGTATGCTGTCAAATCTGTTGACGATTGCAGCCTCATCTCCCGTCTAACAGCCATGAGATTAAAAGTGTGATTGGAGAGTTTTTGTTTTCTTCTGCGGCAGGTCTTGCAAAACTTAGCTCCGACCGCATGGACACTTTCCACGAGCTTGTAATTCATATCGTCCACTGCATTGCAATCTTCTAGGCACTGAAAGCGGTTACGTAACTCTAGCTGAAAGGTTTCGGGATTCTGGATTAGAGCACGAGTGGGACAGAGCATTGACTTCATTAGACGAAACCTCTCCAACTTAACGTTTATGTTCAGTGTGCCTGTAACCATTCAGTGATCGCTGCCAGTTTTCACCCTTGCGATCACTGAGACATCACTGAATAGTTGGCGTCTGGTCGTCATAATGAAGTCAATCTCATTTTTTGTCGAACCGTCAATCAATTCCGATATCAAAAATCAAACCGTCAGTCAATCAAAAAATCAATGTGATAGGTAGAAATTAAATTATTTCGAATTTATTAAAAAAATTACAAGCACAAAGATTAGAAAGGCTTTTTCATCAATTTGTTGTTGGTAGTTCCTTTATCTTTTTAAAGACTGTTATTATTTCTCATCTGTACAACTTGTAACCACAGCGGGGCAAGCAGTGACGTTTTTTTTATAGAAGAATGAGAAAACTTGCATGCGGCTCACCTGATGGTAAGTGACTAAGGCAGCCCATAAATAACTGCAACATCAGATGAATTGCAGGTGCGTTACCGGCCTTTTTGAAAGGAATACTCTTTTCATGAAGATTGCTATGTCATGAGCGACAAACAATGTGCTTGCCCCGTATATACACCCGTATTTTATTTGGTACGTCTAATACTATTTATAATCAGGAATAAGCAACTGTATAGTATAGGAACATTAAGGTTTTTGTATTTGAAGGGGTGCCATTTTTAAATATGGCTTTATCTAAAAATTTTGCTAGGGGCCGCCACCGGACACTATAGTAGTGTGAAATAATAATAAATGATGGAAATTGAAATAATTTGATGTTATGTATGAAGTTTAACACATTAATACCTACATATTTAAATATAGTACCTACATTTTTATACTTTTCAGTTATTTCAAGGCAATGCAGCCGATCCGGACTATAGACTAATAGGTTGTGATGCTGTTGTTGCAATAGAGATGATTGAACACATGATGCCTCATGACCTAGATAGGCTAGTCCATAATATTTTTGGTTTCATCCAACCTTGGATAGCTGTCATCACAACTCCAAATGCTGACTTCAATGCACTATTTAAATCCATGGAGAAAAATGGGCTCAGAAGATGGGATCACTTATTTGAATGGACTAGGGAGCAATTCAATGACTGGTATTTAATAAAGTTATATTTTAATTTCATATTACCGATACTAGTAGTTTTTATAAATTATATATTACTGCATTTTGCACTGTAAATACGTCAATATCTTTTCCTGAGAAATTTATCTTATATGTTTATTAATGAATGATATATTATGTTGATGATATTTCAAGTTTATTCAAAAAAATGAATATTAATTATAATTTATATTAAAGGTGCAGTAACATTGTGACTCGGTATCCAAACTATACAGTGTCTTGTAAAGGTATTGGACCTGGACCACCTGGAACCCTACATCATGGCTGTTGTAGTCAACTTGCCCTTTTCATCTCTAATAACTATCATAAGCAACAAGATTTAACTATTGATAGCATGGCCTTGGTCAAAAGTAAGTTTTATATATTGTATGGAATGTTTATTGATTAAAATATATTTTAGGAAAACTTATAAAAGTTCTGAATAAACTATTTCATTGTCATTTATGTTTTTCTATGCATAATATATATTCTCTATGAGGATATCCGGGCAGCATATAGTCCATACAAACATATTCCTCTGTTTTCTTCATGGATGAATGACAGTATAGTAAATATTTTACACTACAATCTACCTATTATATTGACGGCTCCGTGGTTCAGTGGTTTAGCAATGAGCTGCTGCGCTAAGAGCTGCTGCGCTAAGAGCTGCTGGTTCGATTCCCGCACGGAACAATCATTTGTAGGCAATACAAATACACACAGTATTTGTATGGCCTACAAATGATTGTTCCGTGTCTGGATGTTTGTCCTTGTGAAATTTATGTATGTAAACTGCCCCCACGTTATGGGAGAAAATCCTAGTGTGGAGGTAACATTTTTTAAAACAAAAAAATTGATGATTTCTTCAATTTTACTTAAGAATAATGCAGTTTGCAGTATGAACTACAGTTGTTTCTCTTGGCTGTCTAGCTCGTTCTTTCGGATACAGTGCGACAGTAAGGCATCGTTAAAAATACATTAATAATAAATAATCATACCTTTTAATAAATAGATATTTTTAAACATATTGTTAAAAAAAAAAGTGGCTACTGAAATACTTATCACTAGACTAGATTAAACTTACAAATAAACTGTTATATTAGTAAGCATGTTTTTTTATATGATAGGGTGACAAAGGAGCTCACAGTCCACCTGATGGTAAGTGGTTGCTGTGGCCCATAGACATCTACATCTATCCTCGATTACGAATCAAAATGCAGATGCGTTGTCACCCGTGAGGACTAAGATGGAATGCCTCGTTTCCAGTAAAAAAGGGTCTCCGGTTCTCTACACTCACCATATGAAACACAGCAGCATTAAGCTACCATTTTACGCTGGTATTCTGTGAGAGCGTGGTTCTTCCCCGGTCGAGCCGACCCATTCGTGCTACAACTATACTACCAATATAACTGCAGCATGGCTCTACCACGTATAAAAGATAGAATAAAAATACCCTTAATTAATATTTCAGATGGTCCAATTACAAGTAACTTCTGTGATATGGAAGGAAGCTGGGAATATACAGATACTTTGGGAGAGAACAATATGCTGTATGCTCCAACCAAGTAACTATTTTGTTTTTAAAAATTGTAGTCATTACCCCAAATATATTAGTTCCTTCCATTTAGCTCGGAATGAATCTTCAAATAATCATACACACCTATATAACTATATGTGTATTACATTATTATGTGTGTCTATTACAGCCTGATGGTAAAACCAGTTAGTTGAGCAGCTAGCTCTTTAGGTAAATGCCAACGTTTTAATTGACTTCGAATAATTTTTTTAAAGCGGTAGGACTCATTTTTTGTCTAAGATTCCGTCTGATTAGATACCGTCTTTTTACCTATTTCGGCCGCTAACAGCAGTGCCTGCAATGCTGTGTTTTTTATTATTAACTGGCTTTACGGCTCTGGGTTCTAGCCTTTCTGAGCCTCAATGCTGTGTTTCACTTAAGAGAACACAGAGCTGAAATCATTACAGACCTTCCACTTTATTCTTCAGATATATCATTAGGTGGAATTTCTAAGTTTGTTTGTTCCTTCGATTTTATAAAGAAACAACAATGTTTAGCCAGCTGTTTATTACAGTGTGCCTTGTGTTTGATAGAATTTTAGTTTTCATTTAACTCTGAATATGTTACATCTGTTAAAGGCAAATGTTTTGTTTTTAAAATAAGTTGTAATAATTCTTTCTAGAGCAAATTTCGCATAAGTTTTCATTATATAAAGTATTTATTAATAATTTGTATTAATTTTCATAAATATGTATAATGTAGATACTGATATTAATAGCAACGCTTTTAAGGTGCCTTTACTACTATATACTCTTTTTATACTTTCTTAGTGCAGACTCCATTTCTGGGTTTCTATACCCTGAGAAACAGTCATGTATGACTATTATGATTACCACCATACCATCGCCTTTGGATACGCTGGAGTACAGGGATAAAACTGCGCAGTGTAACATAGATCGAGAGATTAGTAGAAGCTATCTCATGTTTGATGAGGACTTCTGTGCTAGCGTCCTGGTACCGCGAAGACGGGTCATTAATAAAATATATAATATTGAAGATGTTTCTAGCAGGTTACTTTTTAAATGAAAATAAATATTAATGTAGTAGTGTAAATAACACATTGTATCTAAGTAAGTATTTAGTTAACAATTTAGTTGTTCGGTTTTTGCTTTACCAAAGTTGCATCCGTTACCTTATTGATTTTAGTTGCTATTATAATGAGTGAGCAGTGAGCGCACGACACAGGCGCACGCGTATAGCTAAACGTTTGCATTCTTGTTTACGTATCTACTATCTACGTCATACGACATACAAGATATATCACCAACCTTTTTTCTTCGTAACTGTAGTCGTTGATACTGTTACTCCAAGATTATCTGTGAATCATGTTCAAATGAGTACAATGATGGAGCGCAATGTTATGTTTGTAAAAAACACTACGACTTTGGTTGTGCTGGTATAACGGAGCGAGGTTTTCGAAAACTTACTAGCAGATCGAAGAGCTCAATGGAAATGCGTTCAGTGCAAAAAGGTTTCCTTCAGCCCCTCCCGTCCAAGTTCTGAAGCCACTCCTGGTGGCAATTCTGGTGGGGAGTGCGACCTTGGATGTTATTCTTAAGGATATTCGTGAGATGAAGAAGCTAATCACAACACAAGTCTTATCGAAGACATCAAATCTATTAAAATTGAATTAATCCATCTGAAGGAATCTTGTGAGTACAACAGTAGTTCACTTAAATCTTTTCAAGATCAAGTCTCCAGTTTGGAATGTGGTGTACCTCAGATAGAAAAGATTCAAAATTCTCTCGCTGTGGCCAACAAGGAAATAGCTAATCTTAAAAGTCTTATTGAGACCAATGAACAATGGTCACGGCTTAGTAATGTTAAGGTAAAGGGCATCCCCCTAAAGCCCAATGAAAACCTATTTGTAATTGCGGAGTCTATGGGTAAAAAATGGGTATTGGGTATGAATTACAAAAATCTCAAATCAATTACATATCCCGAGTACCAATGTAATTAATACCAAAGAGAAGGCCATCATTATCAATTTCATAAATCGTTATGTCAAAGAAGAATTTGTAGCAGCTGCACGCGCCTGCAAAACTCTAGAGGCTAGGATGTTGGATTTGGAGGCAATCGTCAACGCGTTTTCGTAAATGACACCCAGCACAAAAAACTTCTTACCAAAACAAGACCTTAGCAAAAGACTGAGGTTATTCTTATATCTGGGTCAAATACGGAAAAATTCATATTCGTAAAAATGATACTTCGCCGGTTTTAATTATTACTGATTATTGGATTGGCTGATTTAAACAAAATAGCTTAATCTAATTTTTATTAATGTCTCTTTAAATTACTTCTTTTAATTTTATTAACTATTCTTACGTCTGTATAATTAACTTTTACTTTTATGAAATTACGAAGTTGTTTTTAAAAAGTTACAAAATCTTGTTACCCCTGCCTTACCTGCTTCGTTGATGCATCGCTATTTGTTAAAATTGCCTATCGGTTATCAGTTGCTTGCTTCTGTTGACGGTCGCTTAAGTATGCATCATATTTTGCACTCATTAGATGATACAGTTTTATTTTTTCTACCCGTTTGTAAATATTATATGCCAAATTATTATAGTTTTAGTGAATTTTTAAATATTGTTATATTGTTTACTAATTTTATTAACGGGTTTTTGTAATATGACGGGAGATATATATTCCTTTATTGTAGTAAAATTATTTTGGTTATTGATAGGCTTAAAAATGGCTATACTACATAATACTAGTGTACGTGTGTGGCAGTGACAACCTGAGAATATATTATCAAAACGCAAGAGGCTTGCGCACTAAACTGACATATTTTATCGTAATATTCTTTTATGTGATTATGAAATAATATTAATTACGGAGACATGGCTCCTGGACAGAATTAGTGATACGGAATTATTTGATAATCGATACGTTGTATGGCGGCGTGATAGGAATTACACAGTTACTGGTCAGAAATACGGTGGTGGCGTTTTGATTGCGACGCTCGAAAGATCGAGAAGCTATCCCGCAGCCTTCCTTTCATTCAAGTGCTGAGGACCTATGGTTAACGTTATCTATTCACCATATTACCCATAAAAACGCAAGAACTTGCATTTTTTCTATCTTATATTTGTGTAACGAAAATCGGGGTCTCAGTTTTACTGCACAACTTCAAAATTATTTGCACTCGGTTAGCGAAGTTGTCATGAGTCACTTGGACGATAGCTTTTTATTAGTTGGCGACTTTAATATTAGTGATATTATATGAGTGCCTGACATCGACGCCGCCGACGGTTCATTTTTAGGTACAAATATTCTTTCGGGAAATGAAATTTTATTAATAGATGAATTAAGCTCCCTAAATTTGAGACAACTTAATGGTATAAAAAATGCCCATGGCAGGATTCTTGACCTTGTTTTTTTCTAGCGGCGCTGTAACCGTTCGTGATTAAGTGGAGATTCTCTTATTCCTGTTGATCCTTGTCATGGTGCCCTTCTAATATCTTGATTACGTTGATTGTGATTCATTAAATAGCAATTCTCGCCTTAAGTTCTTATATCATAAAGGTGACTATTATTCATTAAATGGTAAGATTGCCAATATCCAATGGGGTGAAGTTATGTCTCCGTTATCCTTAGATGAATCTGTTCAATATTTTTATAGCACACTCACGTCACTTAGAGATAAATATATCCCCTCAAAATTAATTGTTGCCGACACTTATCCTAAATGGTATACAGCACCACTTAAAAAAGCTATTAAAGAAAAACATAAATTTTTACGTAAATTTAGGATCTATGGCTGTAGGCATGACAATGAAACTTTTAAACTACGAGGGCGGCACTGAAAATTTCGGGAATCAAGGAGGTAACACAACATTACTATTTAAAAATGTATTTATTGTTTTTCGAAGTATTCTCCGCGAAATTTGACACATTTTTCCATACGATGGAACCAATCATTGAAGCAACCATTCCATTCGGAAGTTTGGGTCTCCAAAATGGCCGTTTTGTAGGTGTCCACAGCTTCTTCAGGTGATGAAAATCTCTGTCCACGCAAATTATTCTTTATTTTAGGGAAAGTATAGAAATCATTTGGGCTTAGGTCGGGGCTGTACGGCGGATGGTCTAATAATTCTATGTTTTCTTGCTCTAAAAACTCTTTTGTTCTGTGTGCGGTGTGAGATCTTGCATTGTCGCGATGGAGGATGATGCTGCGGTTGCAGTTCTCTTTACGGAGTTCAGAAATGACCTGTGGCAAACAAATGCTAGCATACCATTCTGCATTAACCGTTCTTTGTCCCTCAAGAGCCGTAGATGCACAGACCGCGGCCCGCCGGTCGAATACTGGTGGCCCGCTAACAGCAAAAATAATATTCTCGTACATTCGAAAAATATTAAATTATATTCCAGAATAAATCCAAAAAAAAAAAATATGTTCGAAAAGTAATTTGAATCTCGCGCGCGCGCTCTTAAGTGCGCTTATCGTTGCGCCGTGCATGCGTCGGTAACAGCGGTCGGTAATGTTCGTGCTGATCTCGGTTAAATTCGTTTTCTTGAGGAACCGCCGCGGCCGGCGGCGCGGCGACAACGGCAGCGCGGTGGCGGCTTATCCACGGGTTATATTGTAAGAGCAAGCGAGATAGCAATAGTCCCGAATTCCCGATTGCTCGCGTAGGTAGATACACGAAGCTTCCAGAGTCGGTTTCGTGATTTCTCCAGACAGTTTTCGACTTCATACGCGCGGTATAAAAGCCACGCTAACCGCAGCGACCGACAGTTCGGTTTTAATTTGAGTGAAGTGTCAATAGTTCTAGTGTAGATTTTAACTCGACTAACCGGTGTCATATATTTTGATCCACATTCAACGTAGATTTCCCCTCAAGTGCCGTGTATAATTGTGTTGTGAAATCGTAAGTAAAACTCTGTTATTAATTAGGGGGATAAGTCGCTCGCGTCCGTAGGCTTTGACCACCTAATCCTAGGCCCACCCTACACGTGTCCCCCGGGTGGTGCTAAATGAGCGAC